GTTGCATACGCTAAATGCAATCGTGTCAATCTACGAAAGTGATTTAGGATAATTTAGATATGAGTTTTCATTGGTTTTTTTATTTTCAAGCTTAGAGACTTATTTTATCGCTTAGTTTGCTAGGGACTAGCAAAAACCTGGTTGGGGGTTGTGATAAGAGCTTGAAAGTATATATTTTGTTAGTGATTAATTAATTGGATTATTTGTGGAAAAATGTGTTTAAATTATGGAATTTGAATTAATTATTTCATAAATACCTTTTACGGGATCATGGGTGTATTTTGAGTATTTTCAGTTTCAAACCAATATGTGAAGGAAAAAGAATGATGTCGATGGAATTCATGACGAGTAGGAACAAACAGTGCAAGAATCAGAGTTGACACTCGTTTACTCGAGCTTTATTACTTGCGCGATTTCGTACACTTGCGAATAGTCTATCATATGTAAAATCCCAAATCAAGGTTGTAGTCGTTAGATCTGGTCCAAATTCGATAGTTGTGGTCTGTTTAAATGTTTTTAAATTGACTAGTATTTGTTTTAAGGTTTAGATTTTTATTAAAAAAAAATTGATTTTGTTTTTAATTTTTACATAAATATATAAATTTAGCTTTTATTTTATTTTTTAAAGAATTTACATAAATTATTTTAAGTTTAGGTTTTTGTAAAAACTAAAAGCTTGTCTTCTTTTTTGGTCCAAAAATGTCATTTCCCCCTATTTCTATCAAATTTAACTAAGGAAACTAATAAAGGGGTTGCGTTCGGTTGTTTTTGGAGTTCTTGAAGTCTAAGTCTATTTCTAGATTTTGACGGGGTTTAATGGTATCAACCCAGGTTGGGGACATGTATCCATGATGGGGTTGTTTCTAGAGATTTCTAAAGAGTCTTTTATCATGAGTTGGAGATGAAGTAAATCAACAGTTAATGGGAGTTCTTACGGAAAAAGGATGAAGATAATCATTCTGGAGAAGACGAGTCAACAAAGGTTAGGTAAGACTATGTTGATACCGTTTAGCTATTTAACGGTTTTTTTTATGGTGACAAGTGTAAAGGTGGCAAATGTTGAATTTTTAAAAGTATTGGGCGTTAAATATGTTGAAAAGGCTCATACATGCATTTATCTAGAACTATTCAAAAACTTAGGGGTAGTTTGTGAATTAACTCCCTCCAACATTAGGGAGGTAGTTAGGACACAAATATAAAAGATGAAAGTAATAGGGCAAAATGTTATTTGTAATATAGATGATTTTGTCTTCAATGTGTTATTCCCGAGTCTACTTGAATAAAGGACTACATATTCAATTTTTTCTAAAAAAATTAGTAGCATTGCATATATCTATAACTTATTCCCCTTGAATTCCTTGATTTATAATTTATATTAATTTGTCGCGGATCCAATGAATGACAAGTGGGGACCACAATGCCCACTTAATTTTTAATCCTTACAGAACTTTGAAATTTTTGGAACGAAACGGCCCCCCCGATAAGTTTGGATTTTGTTTTTGTAAAACCCCGTTTTAATCCTAATATGTATATATATTTTATATTTTTTGTGATTTTCATTTTTATCCAAGAGAATCTGTTAGTTTTTAAAAGTTTTATTAGGAGTGAAAATGAAATGAATAAGAGCTACTGGGTTTGCATGTAATTGAGAGGAGAAATCTTGGCATTTTTACAACAGAAAGCTGATGTGACGGGGTCATGGTGATAAGAAGAGAATTTTGGGGTAATTTCATAATTCAAAAAAGTTGTTTTATATATAAACTGGATTGTTCGCCCAAAATGAAGAAGAAATGAGAAAAACTCATAAAGAAGAAAGGAAGAAGAAGCAAAGGAAAAGGAAAAAGAGAAGAGAGGGAAGAATGGGTTTGGCCAGGTTTCTCCATCTGATTTTTCTGCACTTGAATTGATGGTACTTAAGAACTAGGCTAAGACTTATGTTATTGACATGCGTTCATGTGATGAATTTGCTAAGTTACAAGGAATTTGTGATTTGGCTAAGAATTTAGTTCGGTTTAAAAAAAGAAATTTTGTATCCGTTGGTATATAAGCTTGTGAAAGTTGCATTGGTTTTACAAGTTGCGATTACGACCGTTGAAATGGTTTTTTTTGTAATGAATCTTGGGAAAAGTTGGTTACGCAATCGGATGGGAGATCAATGAATAAATAATTGCTTGATCACCTATATTGAGAAAGATGTATTTGATACAATTGACGATAAGATGATTATCTAATGTTTTCAAAATATGAAAACTCGTCAAAGACAATTGTAGAAAAAAGTTTTATTTTTACAAAAATTGTGTTTTTTGAAGATATTTATCTGTATTTTGTAACTTTTTGTTGAAGTTCATCATAATGAAAAAAAAAAAAAAAGTATGGTTATGATTGATTTTAATTTTTTTTTTTAATTTTTTGCCCCCATAGAGTGAAATTCTTGGATCCACCCCTGAATTTTTTGACTACATGATGCCTTTTCCTCTTGATAATCCACCATACGATTTTTACACCTCTTGATTCCTTTTGTAAATTTAGAAAAGTTCAATTAATTCATTCCTTCAGCATGTAATCTTTTGTGTACTATGTTTAATTTTTTCTTTACTTCTTTTTCTTTTTGTATCCTTCCCTTTCCGCTAATTCATGGACGTCATCCATGCACCAAATCTACTTATTCACAATTTCTTTAAGGCTGCTGTAAAAATATATAAAGTATTATTCCATATCTAAAGTAGCAATAATTTGTCTAGAATAATATAGATTTCAATATCCCAACTTGGGTTATCTCTTTGTCTTTTTAAAAAATGAAAATTTTTATTTTATTATTAATATGTGAGCTAATTGGTTCGAATTATATAGAGGTTTTTCCGAATAAAATATATATTTTAAATTATTAATAAAAAGTTATATAAAGCCCTTCCCATTTCCAAATAAGAGTATCTCCAATGGTGTTTTTTATTTTAAAGAGTATTTTTCATATAAATAAATAACAAAATTTTTATTCAAATCTAATAGACTCTTAAAATTTTCAAGAAAAAGACTTAATAGGAGAGAGAATTAATAAATAAAATGCATAAAAACTTGTAATTTGTTAATTAAGATTAGGATAGAGAGTGAAATTTGACTATTTGAATGCGTTTGGTTCAGGAAATGTTGGATTACTGGGAATGTTGGATTACCGATAAGTTAGATTATCTTGAAGATTGCTGAAAAGTTAGATTACCTTGAAGATTACTAAGAATCTTTAGGAAAATGGGTTTGGTTAGTTTGAATAAATTTGTGGGTATGTTTTATTAATATGTTTGATTGGGAGGAATAACTTGGTGGGTATGTTATTTAAATTACTGAATTGTCTAATCTCATAATAAAAGGTTGGAAAATCAACAATGCACTCCTACCAACCCAGCCACTGCTGGCCGCCGACAACCATCGTTAATAACCTAACGACGCACGGAAGGCAGGAAATGGCCTTCATGCATCGTATGGCCATTTCCGACCAGAGATCTAGCAAGAAAACAGCCAGATCTAATATGGCCAGAAAACGACCAGATTAGGGTTTAGATCAGATCGTTTCCTGGCCATATCTGTCACGATCTGGCCATTTTTGGCCAGATTTCTAGCTGGAAATGGCCATATCGGCGCACGACGGCCATTTTCGGCCTTCTGTACGCCGTTCCGGCAACGGCGGCAGGTGGATAAGGTTGGTGGCTTAGGTGGGCTGCAATTTGTTTTGAATTCAAGGGTAATTTTGTCCAAAAAGTTAATTAATTGGGGTGAAATAGTAATAGCTATATTCATGTAAATTAATTTAAAAATAAGGGTATTATTGTCCTAAAATTTTATTGATAAGGGATAGAATTGTAACAAAAAAAAAAAAAAAAAGATTATATTGGTAATCTTACAATATCTAAGAAAATAGAGATAATCAGATTACCTCCAATATTACCAATAGTAACTACTATTAGTATTTAAAAATTATCGAAATCTTATATTACTTGACAATCAAATGTGGTAATCAAGTAATATAAGATGACATAACCCTAGTAATCCTACATAACCCCAACCAAACGCCCCCTTTAGAGCATCTCCAATAGTGCTCTTTATTTTAAAGAGCATATTTTAAAAATAAAGAGCATCTTCATTAATTTTTAAATTAAAAAAATAAAATTTTTATTCAAATCTAATAGACTCTGTAGATGTGGAGAGCCAATGTATAGGAAAAAAACTTAATAGGAGAGAGAATTAATAAAGAATAAAGAGTTTGTTGGACTCTTGTTTTTATAGATAATTTTTTTATGAAAAAAAAAGAGCTTGAGTCATATAAAGAGTCATTTGCAGATGATCTTCGTTCGATCTTTATCCCATTTCCTTTTATATTTTGTATACCACATATAAAATATAATATTGATTTGTTTTTCTAACTAAGGAAAATTTTATTAAAAACCAAAAAGGTAAAGTTAAATGACATCTAGATATGGGGAGACGAAAAGAGCCCAACCCCTCAAAAATCTGAACATAGATAAAAGAAATGCAAAAGCATGAATTACAATAGAGAAAATAAAAATCAACTAAACCTATAGCGATGTAAATGCTAAATATTATGTTGAAGCTCCTTAGTAATAAAGAAGGTTCGTCCCACCATTGCAAACTTGGATAACAAAGACCTAAATTGGCCAATTGATCAGTTGTAACATTACCTTCTCTGAAGATATTATTTTATGACTGGTTATCGAGTACTTTCTGTTTGTCGAAGTTATTAGAAGGTTCATCACTTTTGTCAGTTGTCACTAGCTTAATAATCGTTGATCATAAAAACAAAAAATCTATTAACTTGTTTAATTTGTACTTGTGATTCTTAACTGAAGCTCAAAGCTTCCTTGATATACCAAACCCAGCAAATCAAGCAATCTCTAGAATAAAAAAAATATATTCCCATTTAACTTTGTCATAGGGAATTAATTCTACAAGCAGTACTAGCCAATGAACGCATATTTAAGAACAAAACCTTCCTTCCTTCACTTCATCTGCTTGAGCATTCACTGCCACACAACCTAATTCTTCCACCAGCCATGGATAATTATGGTTACGAAAGGGCCACGTTCAGGCGGTCTGCCTCTCGCTTAACCCTAGCGGCACATTTGTTTGGCATCTTAGCCATCGTTCTTATGCTCATTTGGTTGTTGCATTACCGAGGGGGCATCGAGTATGGTTCCTACAATTCAGATCGTGTTTTCAATGTAATTAAGTTCATTAACTCTTGATTTTCACTATCTTATACACACACACACACATATATATACTAAAATTAATAAATTCTTGTTCTTGTTCTTGTAGGCTCACCCATTTTTTATGTTCTGTGGGTTCGTCTTTCTCGCTGGTGAAGGTGCGAGTTTCCTACTTGTTTTTGGTTAGAATCTTGTTACTGAGTGCATACATAAGTGGCGTAAATTTACTGAAGGATAGTAATACTCGGTTGTATTCTGGATTTTTTTTCTTTGAGAAGGGCGTCTGATATAAAAATCTTTAATTACATTTATTGCAAATGATGTTCTTTTTAATTAGACCCCCATATATATTAAAGATTAGAACATACTGTATAAGTGTTATACCGATTAAGTCTTTCATACGCATTTATATTTTGCAGCGATGATGGCATACAAGACAATTAAATCAGAGCACAAAGTGCAGAAATTTTTTCATGGGATACTTCATTTGACTGCCTTATGTCTCGGAGTGGCTGGGATATGTGCGGTTTTCAAGTATCATGATATGGTGAATGTAGAAGATATGTATTCATTGCATTCATGGATTGGATTGACCACTTTTGTCCTCTTTTGCTTACAGGTACAAAACACCACAGTTTCGGAATTTAGTTTTAATATAGGTTTTATTTCATACACCCCTTACGACATCGTTTAATTGTAGCACATTCAAGGTTTTCAAAAAGTATAAAAAAAAACCTTGAGACAAGGGGATTTTAATAATCATAATGGTTGAGTATGTTTAAGATTAAACAATCCCGTTAGAGGTGTATGAAATAAACTTCAATATATTCTAGTAATTATATCAGATCTAATAATTAATTTAAAACTGATTTTGCTTTTGTTTGCAGTGGCTTTTGGGGGTCTCTGCATTTCTTTTTCCATCTTCGGCCATAACGAGGGCTAAGATGCTTCCATGGCATATCTGCGGGGGTAGAGCACTCTTATACATGGCAATATGCGCAGCTCTTACAGGATTAATCGAAAAATTTACGTTCATGAAACTTGCGCATCAAAGAGAAGCTCGTTTGATCAACTTTACTGGACTATCAATCCTCCTATTCGGCATTTTTGTTGATCTTTCTGTTGCCCTTGCTCGTTATGTGTGATTACATTGCAATGTTTTTTCTGGTCTGGGAGTGATTTTTTTCTTTGATTGTCATTATTATTATTATATTTATTTTTTCGTTTAGTGTGCTCGGTATTATATTGTTGTAATCTAAATTGTTATTATTATTTATGGAGAAGCATCTAAAGTGTAACATATTTTCATGAATACAAGAAAATATAACGTAATATAACCGGCATGGCTCCCCATAAACCAGTGACATTAAAAAAATAATTGGGAAACGAAATAACCAGAGCGAGAAGCCAGTGGAAGATATTAATTAACTATAATCAAGCAGAGACGAAGGCCTCCGAAGCATAATATATACTACGATGTTCTCAAGTTGTATCTCAATTAATTTATCGTATCTTAAATCATACATGTTCGTAAAAATTGTCTCTGGTTGAATTTTGTATTCTTCACTTAAATCTTCCAAAGTAGATATCTAGGAAAATCACTGTAAAATCTTTCATTCTTCGATCATGGTTAAATCAGTACTGGCGAAATTGTTGTAAAAGCAATCGAATATATATATATATGAGAGTATCTATTAATTTACAGCTAAGTGCAACGAAAGCAAAGCTTAGTCTCTATTTTGTGATTCTCAACTAAAGCTACAAGTAATTATAATTCCTTGATATACCAAACCTAGTAAATCAAGCAATCTCAAGAATAATAAAATTCCATTTAACTTTGTAAAAGAGCTAGAACAAGTTCCAGTCTTCTACCTTAGGAATCTGATAATTATATTCATATGCACATTTTTGGGGAGCGTTGTCAAGTAGCTGTACCACTGATATCATGTATTTATACGCTTTCTAGGGCCTACCCTTTTGGCTATTTGATCTCACCTTCTTACTTTTTTCTCTTTTGTTTCCTTTTGTTGTTTTCTGATCTCCTTTTTGTTTGGAGAACCACATGCGTTTCTGCAATCCGTTTGGTTACGACGAATTTCTTTTTTACCCCCCTTTAGAGCATCTCCAATAGTGCTCTTTATTTTAAAGAGCATATTTTAAAATAAAGGCATCTTCATTAATTTTTAAATTAAAAAATAAAATTTTTATTCAAATCTATATACTCTGTAGATGGAGAGCCAATGTATAGAAAAAAACTTAATAGGAGAGAGAATTAATAAAGAATAAAGAGTTTGTTGACTCTTGTTTTATAGATAAATTTTTATAAAAAAAAACTTGGGTCATATAAAGAGTCATTTGCAGATGACTTCGTTCGATCTTTATCCCATTTCCTTTTATATTTTTTATACCATTAAAATATAATATTGATTTGTTTTTCTAACTAAGGAAAATTTTATTAAAGACCAAAAGGTAAAGGTAAATGACATCTAGATATGGGGAGACGAAAAGAGCCCAACCCCTCAAAATCTGAACATAGATAAAAGAAATGCAAAAGCATGAATTACATAGAGAAATAAAAATCAACTAAACCTTAGCGATGTAAATGCCAAATATTATGTTGAAGCTCCTTAGTAATAAAGAAGGTTCGTCCCACCATTGCAAACTTGGATAACAAAGACCTAAATTGGCCAATTGATCAGTTGTAACATTACTTCTCTGAAGATATATTTTATGACTGTTTATCGAGTACTTTCTGTTTGTCGAGTTATTAAAGGTTCATCACTTTTGTCAGTTGTCACTAGCTTAAAACTTTGATCATAAACAAAAAATCTATTAACTTTTTTAATTTGTACTTGTGAAATTCTTGGATCCACCCCTGAATTTTTTGACTACATGATGCCTTTTCCTCTTGATAATCCACCATACGATTTTTACACCTCTTGATTCCTTTTGTAAATTTAGAAAAGTTCAATTAATTCATTCCTTCAGCATGTAATCTTTTGTGTACTATGTTTAATTTTTTCTTTACTTCTTTTTCTTTTTGTATCCTTCCCTTTCCGCTAATTCATGGACCTCATCCATGCACCAAATCTACTTATTCACAATTTCTTTAAGGCCGCTGTAAAAATATATAAAGTATTATTCCATATCTAAAGTAGCAATAATTTGTCTAGAATAATATAGATTTCAATATCCCAACTTGGGTTCTCTCTTTCTCTTTTTAAAAAATGAAAATTTTTATTTTATTATTAATATGTGAGCTAATTGGTTCGAATTATATAGAGGTTTTTCTGAATAAAATATATATTTTAAATTATTAATAAAAAGTTATATAAAGCCCTTCCCACTTCCAGATAAGAGTATCTCCAATAGTGTTTTTTTATTTTATGAGCATTTTTCATATAAATAAAGAACAAAATATTTATTCAAATCCAATTGACTCTTTAAGTTTTCAAGAAAGAGACTTAATAAGAGAGAGAATTAATAAATAAAATGCATAGAAACTTGTAATTTGTTAATTAAGATTAGGATAGAGAGTGAAATTTGACTATTTGAATGCGTTTGGTTCAGAAAATGTTAGATTACTGGGAATGTTGGATTACTAAAAAGTTAGATTACCTTGAAGATTACTGAAAAGTTAGATTACCTTGAAGATTACTAAGAAGCTTTAGGAAATTATGTTTGGTTAGTTGGAATAAATTTGTGGGTATATTTTATTAATATATTTGGTTGGGAGGAATAAATTAGTGGGTATGTTATTTAAATTATTGAATTGTCCAACCTCATATAAAAGGTTGGAAAATCAACAATGCACCCCTACCACCCCAACCACTGCTGGCCGCCGGCAACCACCGTTGACAACCTAACGGCGCACGGAAGGCAGGAAATGGCCTTCGTGCATCGTATGGCCATTTCCGGCTAGAGATCTAGCCGGAAAACGACCAGATCTAACATGGCCAGAAAACGACCAGATTAGGGTTTAGATCTGGTCGTTTCTTGGCCATATCTGTCATGATCTGGCCATTTTCGGCCAGATCTCTGGCTGGAAATGGCCATATCGGCGCACGACGACCATTTTCGGCCTTCTATGTGCCGTTCTGGCGGCGACGACAGCAGGTGGGTGAGGTTGGTGGCTTGGATGGGCTGCAATTTGTTTTGAATTCAAGGGTAATTTTGTCGAAAAAGTTAATTAATTGGGGTGAAATAGTAAAAACTATATTCATGTAAATTAATTTAAAAATAAGGTATTATTGTCCTAAAATTTTATTGATAAGGGATAGAATTGTAACCAAAAAAAAAAAAAAAAGATTATATTGGTAATCTTACAATATCTAAGAAAATAGAGATAATCAGATTACCTCCAATATTACCAATAGTAACTACTATTAGTATTTAAAAATTATCGAAATCTTATATTACTTGACAATCAAATGTGGTAATCAAGTAATATAAGATGACATAACCCTAGTAATCCTACATAACCCCAACCAAACGCCCCCCTTTAGAGCATCTCCAATAGTGTCTTTATTTTAAAGAGCATATTTTAAAAATAAAGAGCATTTCATTAATTTTAAATTAAAAAAATAAAATTTTTATCAAATCTAATAGACTTGTAGATGTGGAGAGCCAATGTATAGGAAAAAAAACTTAATAGGAGAGAGAATTAATAAAGAATAAAGAGTTGTTGGACTCTTGTTTTTATATAAATTTTATAAAAAAAAAAGCTTGGGTCATATAAAGAGTCATTTGCAGATGATCTCGTTCGATCTTTATCCCATTTCCTTTATATTTTGTATACACATATAAAATATAATATTGATTTGTTTTTCTAAATAAGGAAAAATTTATTAAAACCGAGGTAAAGGTAAATGAAATCTAGATATGGGGAGACGAAAAGCCCAACCCTCAAAAATCTGAAACATAGATAAAAGAAATGCAAAAGCATGAATTACAATAGAGAAATAAAAATCAACTAAACCTTAGCGATGTAAATGCCAATATATGTTGAAGCTCCTAGTAATAAAGGGTTCGTCCCACCATTGCAAACTTGGATAACAAAGACCTAAATTGGCCAAATGATCAGTTGTAACATTACCTTCTTGAAGATATTATTTATGACTGGTTATCGAGTACTTTCTTGTCGAAGTTATTAGAAGGTTCATCACTTTGTCAGTTGTCACTAGCTTAATAATCGTTGATCATAAAAACAAAAATCTATTAACTTGTTTAATTTGTACTTGTGATTCTTAACTGAAGCTCAAAGCTTCCTTGATATACCAAACCCAGCAAATCAAGCAATCTCAGAATAAAAAAAAAATATTCCCATTAACTTTGTCATAGGGAATTAATTCTACAAGCAGTACTAGCCAATGAACGCATATTAAGAACAAAACCTTCCTCCTTCACTTCATTCTGTGAGCATTCACTGCCACAAAACTATTCTTCCACCAGCCATGGATAATTATGGTTACGAAAGGGCCACGTTCAGGCGGTCTGCCTCTCGCTTAACCCTAGCGGCACATTTGTTTGGCATCTTAGCCATCGTTCTTATGCTCATTTGGTTGTTGCATTACCGAGGGGGCATCGAGTATGGTTCCTACAATTCAGATCGTGTTTTCAATGTAATTAAGTTCATTAACTCTTGATTTTCACTATCTTATACACACACACACACATATATATACTAAAATTAATAAATTCTTGTTCTTGTTCTTGTAGGCTCACCCATTTTTTATGTTCTGTGGGTTCGTCTTTCTCGCTGGTGAAGGTGCGAGTTTCCTACTTGTTTTTGGTTAGAATCTTGTTACTGAGTGCATACATAAGTGGCGTAAATTTACTGAAGGATAGTAATACTCGGTTGTATTCTGGATTTTTTTTCTTTGAGAAGGGCGTCTGATATAAAAATCTTTAATTAAATTTATTGCAAATGATGTTCTTTTTAATTAGACCCTCATATATATTAAAGATTAGAACATACTGTATAAGTGTTATACCGATTAAGTCTTTCATACGCATTTATATTTTGCAGCGATGATGGCATACAAGACAATTAGATCAGAGCATAAAGTGCAGAAATTTTTTCATGGGATACTTCATTTGACTGCCTTATGTCTCGGAGTGGCTGGGATATGTGCGGTTTTCAAGTATCATGATATGGTGAATGTAGAAGATATGTATTCATTGCATTCATGGATTGGATTGACCACTTTTGTCCTCTTTTGCTTACAGGTACAAAACACCACCGTTTCGGAATTTAGTTTTAATATAGGTTTTATTTCATACACCCCTTACGACATCATTTAATTGTAGTACATTCAAGGTTTTCAAAAAGTATTAAAAAAAACCTTGAGACAAGGGGATTTTAATAATCATAATGGCTGAGTATGTTTAAGATTAAACAATCCCGTTAGGGGTGTATGAAATAAACTTCAATATATTCTAGTAATTATATCAGATCTAATAATTAATTTAAAACTTATTTTGCTTTTGTTTGCAGTGGCTTTTGGGGGTCTCTGCATTTCTTTTTCCATCTTCGGCCATAACGAGGGCTAAGATGCTTCCATGGCATATCTGCGGGGGTAGAGCACTCTTATACATGGCAATATGCGCAGCTCTTACAGGATTAATCGAAAAATTTACGTTCATGAAACTTGCGCATCAAAGAGAAGCTCGTTTGATCAACTTTACTGGACTATCAATCCTCCTATTCGGCATTTTTGTTGATCTTTCTGTTGCCCTTGCTCGTTATGTGTGATTACATTGCAATGTTTTTTCTGGTCTGGGAGTGATTTTTTTCTTTGATTGTCATTATTATTATTATATTTATTTTTTCGTTTAGTGTGCTCGGTATTATATTGTTGTAATCTAAATTGTTATTATTATTTATGGAGAAGCATCTAAAGTGTAACATATTTTCATGAATACAAGAAAATATAACGTAATATAACCGGCATGGCTCCCCATAAACCAGTGACATTAAAAAAATAATTGGGAAACGAAATAACCAGAGCGAGAAGCCAGTGGAAGATATTAATTAACTATAATCAAGCAGAGACGAAGGCCTCCGAAGCATAATATATACTACGATGTTCTCAAGTTGTATCTCAATTAATTTATCGTATCTTAAATCATACATGTTCGTAAAAATTGTCTCTGGTTGAATTTTGTATTCTTCACTTAAATCTTCCAAAGTAGATATCTAGGAAAATCACTGTAAAATCTTTCATTCTTCGATCATGGTTAAATCAGTACTGGCGAAATTGTTGTAAAAGCAATCGAATATATATATATATGAGAGTATCTATTAATTTACAGCTAAGTGCAACGAAAGCAAAGCTTAGTCTCTATTTTGTGATTCTCAACTAAAGCTACAAGTAATTATAATTCCTTGATATACCAAACCTAGTAAATCAAGCAATCTCAAGAATAATAAAATTCCATTTAACTTTGTAAAAGAGCTAGAACAAGTTCCAGTCTTCTACCTTAGGAATCTGATAATTATATTCATATGCACATTTTTGGGGAGCGTTGTCAAGTAGCTGTACCACTGATATCATGTATTTATACGCTTTCTAGGGCCTACCCTTTTGGCTATTTGATCTCACCTTCTTACTTTTTTCTCTTTTGTTTCCTTTTGTTGTTTTCTGATCTCCTTTTTGTTTGGAGAACCACATGCGTTTCTGCAATCCGTTTGGTTACGACGAATTTCTTTTTTGAGTAATGTTACAGTCACTGACAATAGTGCACTGAATGACGTGACAAAATCCTAACCGTTGATTAATATTAAGTTAAAATTAATCAATGATCAAGATTTTGTCACGTCATTTGGTGTACAAATTCGGTGCACTATCGTCGATGGCTGAATTATTTTCCTTCTTTTTTCTTTTTCTTTAACTTTTTCTTTTTGTCTTCTTGTATCGTCACTCCAACTCATCTGACCGCTCTTAGTAAACTAACATTAATTTAAATAACTCAATGAAAATATAGGAACCCATTTCATGATGGAAATATTCTTTTTGTTTTTTTGTTTTTGTTGTCGAATGTGTTTAGATCAGTTTACGTGTACCTTAATTAGTCTTCCGATTCCAAATAAGACTTCCAAAATAGAACAAGTCTTGCAGTCCATGATCAACAGTATTAGTAATCGTTGTTATATTCATGGAAAGATCTTTTCTACCTAATGAACCTAATTATTAGATTCATGCACATTTTATATTTATATTTTTTCGTAACGTGGACTTTGGAGTGTGAGAAAAATCTGTCCTATACTTGGACTGACATTACACTAAAAAAATTGATGTTGCTATCAGACAAGAGATGCAGCGAATTGCTCTTAAAAGCTTGCTTAGTTTATTAAGAATGAAAGCAACTTCGTTGAATAGATATCTTTCACATACTATGCTTCATATTTAAATTCAAATCTGTTTATCAAGTCACACAAATTTATTTGATTGAGTCTTCAAGTATTTCATATTTCAACGTTTTCCATGTGTATATCTATAGAAGTGTAAAATTTTACCACAAATGCAAAAACTCTATTTGAATTTCAAACAGATTATATGTACACGTTTTAACAAGTATTGGTAATGAAAAAACTAATAAAAAATATTATTAAACTCACAAATTACTTTATATAACCATGTGGGCAACAGTAAAATTAATTATAAGAATGAAACAAAGTCAAAATGTTGTTCAAATCATTGGACTTGCCATTACAAAAATTTGCCGGCAGGACGGTCTTATTAATTACAAAATTCATCTTTGGTAGTATCTTTATCATGCAAACAAAAATCTCTCTTGTGTATTTCACCCATTGGCTTTGTACTTAACCAATTACTCTCTTTAACGCGTTGAATTAATACATAATTCATGACGCATTCTACACGAAACAAAATTTATTGGTCTGTTTGTCCAATTTCAAGAATAAATTATTATATAGCACAGCTTGTTTCAAGAGAATTGAACTTGTAATTCATTGATTATCATCTCACTTCCATTACAACTGATCTCTCTTCAGCACAACGGAGTGCCATGGCGCCGAGAAGTCGTAGCTACCAAATCTCGGCAACTCCTGTTACGATTTTTGCTCATTTATTAGTCATTGCAGTGGCAACACTTGTGCTTGTATGGCTCCTGCACAACCAAGAAGGCTTTGCTTTTAAATCTGATAACAAATTGAAGATTTTCAATGTGAGTTCTTTGATACAACTCTTGCAATTTCAATGATATTTTTATAAATATTTCTCTCTGATTTTTGTTTTTCTTTCTATTTCTTATTTGCAGTTGCATCCATTTTTCATGATAATTGGATTTATATTAATTGGAGGTGAAGGTAAGGGAAATGCATACAGTTCACTGAATAATATATGAATTATTTTACACAGATTAGATCTAATTGAATTATTAATTTGAATATATAAAACAGCTATAATGGCATACAAGACAGTCCCTGCAACAAGAAGAGCTCAAAAGACATTTCATTTCTTGCTGCATTTACTAGCTCTCCTGTGTGGAATTTTGGGCATTTATGCAGTTTTCAAGTTTCACCATGAATCAGGAACTTCGGATATGTATTCTTTACATTCTTGGTTGGGCATGGGCACCATCTGCCTCTATGGTTTACAGGTATTTATGTTGAATAAATTTATGCAAATGCTTATTACCAGAAGTTATATGTTATATGAGTTAATTACATTGCATGTACCCTTGGGGTTTAGGTCGACACGTCCAATTACTACAGTTTAAAATACTTCCGAGATTGTAACAACCATTAAAAATAGACGGTTTGAAGGTAGAATTTGAGTTTCTAAAACTGAGACAATATCAAAATAAGGGGTATTATGAGGTTTAAACTAAAAATCCTCCTAATTATGTAAACATTTGTTAAACTCAAGGGGATAAATCATAAGTCTAGTATTTTAAAAGATAAGACCTAAAATAGTTAAGCAATACCTCACGGTGGATGAAGTCTCTCTGTATGTCATATATATGTAAAATTTAACTATTAGTGAGGATGTTTTTACATTTTCAACGTTTATTTGTTAACTTCATAAATCCTAAAATCAAAAGTTAGTGATCAGAAGTTCACCTTTAATAAAAAATTAAAGACATCCTCACCTGGAAATTTTCAATTAACAAAAATTTTGTAATATTTTTACAGTGGCTTCTTGCTTTCGTCTCTTACGTCTTCCCAGGAGCGGAAATGTCAAGAAGAGCTTCATTCTTGCCATGGCACAGTTTCTTCGGACTGGTGATCTTCTTCTTGGCAATATGCAGTGCTGAGACTGGACTAGTTCAGAAATTCCTTATATTAGGCCTATTTCGCGGCCAGGAAGCACTTATTGTTAACTTCATAGGAATATTGCTCATTCTATTTGCAATAAGTGTTGGACTTGGTGTTGTCCTTCCTCGAGTTTATTAATCAAATTTAGCAATTGGGATGTATTTTTTAATTAATGTTTGTGATTTGTATAATCTAAGTAACTAAATTATTTAACTTTTTTTATTGGACAAATTATATTATAAAAGAAAGTTGAGCTTCAACTTGCATATATTTTGAAACTCAAATCAATCTTGAACATTATTTACCTCTATCTTTGTTTTCATCCTCTACCTCTATGATTAAAAAATAAGGTTTGTTTAGGGTTTTCAAAATTTTCTAATTGAAAATCCTCACCTTTCTATAATTATTGAAAATCCACTGAAATAGGTGAAATTTTAATAATTATTTTCAGAAAATTTAGATACGTTTCCTATTAAATAAGCCCTTAAATAACATTATTACCTATATTACTATATTATATACATACATACATATAATATAAAGTATAAATTGAACAAAAGATGAGTAAAAAAACTCATCATGCACAGTCCAATTTCCCAAGAGCTGGTTGGTTCAATTGTCCAATCACATCCAATTATTTAATATTTTAATTTTATCACTAATCAAGCAGCTAATTGGTGTAATGGTGTAGGCCCCTTGGATAAAATATTCGACAGCTTTTGTGCCTCGTTATATTAAAATTATTTGGTTTACACTATCAACGGTGTCAATCACCTCTTATAATTTATTTCTTGAGCACAAGATAATAATGAAATAATAAATGGTTAAATTAATAAAATCATAAATGGAGAATCTATTACAATAATACTAGCTTTATTAACATTTCTCATTAACCTTATTTTACAGTTTGTAATTGTCTTGATCATACTAGACCTATACAAACTTACCAATTGTAAGCTGACATTTTGTATTTGTAATATAAAATTATTGATAATTGTTTTTAAATATACTATTACTCAATCTATTATTATGTTCACGGGAAATGACAAAGAAGCAATACATTCACTTGGGGTTCAACAATGCTTTGGCATCTCTTACATCACTTTCCATTAAAAATGGACAATAATTCAAGGCCAAGCAATATGGCTTAGTTGATTTTGTCCAAATCAAACCTACCAATTTGGAAAGAGAGTATAAAACATTCTTATATGAGTTCACATGAGCTTGCATTTCTCGGATTAGGAGAGCATCCTAGTCCAAAATATTCCGACTAATATTTAAAAAAAATGAAGTGGGCATGTTATCACAAGTAGAACAAAAGCCATCCATTTTCCATTTGAAGAAGGAAGTTGGGTTCAAAATGGTGAAAACAAGAACAAATTACACACCCTTAGTAGAAATTGTAACCAAAAGAGAATAACAACTTCAAATGCCAGAAAACTAAACCCACTGCTGCTTTGTGGCCTCCATTCTCTCCATTAAACCAGAAATCTCGGCTTGCATTCGCATCTTCATTTTGAAGTAATCACAATGTGAATCTTCTAAATCCTTCAGTTCATCGAATTTCTTCCTTCGCCTTTCCTCTGTCTCTGGCAAACAAAGTTTTGCGAGTTTCTGGGCATACTCTTCGTCCAATTTCTCAGATTTGGCCCGAATCATTCGCTTGTATTCCTCTGCCTCTCTCCGAGCATCATCTGCCTTGTTCTGGAACATTCTTGCTTCCACTTCTTTAATACGAACAATGCTTTCCAAGCTGTCAAAACCATCATTCTTTGATAACTTACCAAACTGAAACTCATCTTCAATTTTGAGGTCGCTCATGAGGTCTTTTTGACGGAGATCATTTGACAATGAATCTCGCCGTCCACTTGAGGAAGTTATGTTATACATGGTGTATTTCGGAGGCAGAGAAGTAGCTGATGGAATTGGAGTTCTATCTTTTCTTAGGCTAGCTTGAGCTGCCATCAAGTCATGCAAAGTACTGGAAGCAGGAGCATAGTCTGACATATTATCTGCACCTATTTATCCCAAAAGAGAAGGATTTTAAGAGAATAAAGGGAAAAAAATTCAATGTGCAACATCAAATTGAATGCATATGAGAGAGTGGTAAAGAAAAAAAAAAGTCAAATCTTGAACTCAAAAAAATCCGAAAAAATTGGAAATCTGATAAAAAGCAAAAACGGAAAAGATGCGAAGGCCACAGACCTAGGGGGTGTTTGTCTGAACTTATGAAAATTAGCTTATACTTATAAGCATTTGAAATTTTAAGCAATTACGTGTTTGGTTAAAATATTTATAAGTGACCGATAAGTAGTTAACATGTTTGGTAAAATGTGACTTATAAGTACATTTTATTATAAAATAACTAAACATGGTACTACATTAAACAAGGGTATACTATGAAATTTTAAAATTAAACAAGGATGATATGGTAATATACTTGGCCAAACTAACTTATAAGCAAAAAAAAAAAAAAAAAAAGTACCTCCCCCCTAACTTATTATTTTTTGCTTATAAACTCAACTTATAAGCTCAAAAAAGTTATAAACAAACAAATCAGCTTAATTTTAGAGCTTATAAGCTAGTTTGACCAGCTTATAAGCTTAAACAAACACCCCCTTAGTCCTATGCAGTAACTGCTTCATGCTTTAAAGTTTATGAAAAATATAGTTTGGCAAGACCAACTCGGAACAATCAAGTAATAAGGTAAGTTATATAGCAAATTACAATCTAGGAACTTCCGAAACACAATCATACATGTTAGAAAATTTCTTCTCATCTATCAAAATGGAAGGTTTAATGGGAGAAACCATAATTAGTTCACACAGTAATGGCTTCCTCTACAAAGACGTGAAACAGTATCTGATCATTGACAAGAAAACGAAGCGTAAATTTTCTTGTTCAAACTTCAAAAACAGGCATTATATTTTGAACTTCCGGATAAACTCAAATATTCCCATTGATAACTTAAGCCTATCAAATGTCAATATAATGTAATATAATTCCAAATTTCTTTCTAAAATGAATTAGGGAAAGCACTTTGTAATCTCATACATGAATTCTCTAGAATTAGTTCAGGGATCAATTATTCCAAGATCACTAGACTCTGATTCTAACCATGTCTGTCCAGATTGGCAAACAGCAATAAATTTACATCACCTAAAGGAAATATGCAAGTTTTAAGGATATAGAGAAACGAATCTACAATAAATAATCTAATTCAACCAATTTCAAGAAATACAAGCAGTTTTCAACTGTACAACTACCAGTACACAGCAAAAAAGAAACAAAATCTACTGTTCAGAACTCAAAACACTAAACTCTAAGCTGATTAGAAGCAGTTTTCAACTACACTACTATGCAATACATGCATTGCGCTAAAAGGATAAATATCTTTGAAGCATTAAGCAGGGCTGCAAGTGTTTCTTCTTAGGTTTTAATATACCTTAGATTCATTTTTAATGGATGAAATCCTCGCTTTTGCAGGGACTTGGGTTTTAAGGGATGTAAATAGTTACGTCCTGTCATGTAGCATAAACATTGGACATGGAAACAAAAGTGAGGACAGTAAAAACTTAATCTAATACAATGAGCCTTAGTCTTGCCATAGTAAAGTTTAAAGCTGGTATGACCCATATCTAGGGCCAATAGCCCCTAATTAATAATAATGTCATGTAGAAAGGACCTAGAACCCTTCACTTGTTGGGGTGAACTTGTGAATGGTTTACTCGCTTACTGGTTGGCATTTGGATAAGGTTTCCATTTGATGGGTTTATGATCAGTAGAATTAAATCAGCCTCATTGACCAGAAAAATACAGAAACTGGCAAAGGTTACATCTATTGTCCTCAAAAATTGGATTTTCACAAACTAATTCACAGAGGTTATGATTAACATAGAGCCACTTTAACTGACAAGGAGGAATAACATATGAACTATAAGGAAAAAGAAGGAGGATAAAGTTAGGAGACTCACGATTGAAGAATTGAATAATGGAGCTACAAGCTTCCGAAGGAGACATCACTTTGTTTTCCAGCTTGGAGACCAATTCATTTGCCTTAATATGCAATTCCTTGCCCTTAAAATCATCACTTCCCTTGAAAATTTTCCTTACACAGTCAAGCTCCTTGACCAAGGTGTCTAGGCCCCAATTCTTTGCGCAAAACAAAAACACATCCTTAACGAACCCAAACATCTCTGAGGCATGATCACACATAAGACAGTGGAACTGCATCTCAGAAGTTCCCGAGGGCCCCTTCAAGCTCGGGCCTGGCTTAATTAGGTTCCTCTGAATACCACAAGCGGCATGGCACCAATGTGAACAAACATCACAGCCAACCCAACTGCAAGTATTGTTGGCACAATCAAAATTCATACAAACTGGACACATGCATGAGCTGCAAAATCCTTTATTTGCAGAGCAAAGTTTACAGTCACAATCATCAACAGGTAATATACTCTTGCAATTTACATTCCTACACCTCATTAACAAGAAAATCTCCACCAGCTCATTTATAGGAAGCTGAACTTTTGCAGACAGAAAGCTCCCGAGCCCCATTTTTACTGCAACCAATATTTCTAATTGATCCTTGTGGCATTTTGACAGTGTCTCCTTGTTCAGATCAGATCTTCTCTCAAGTCGTTTTTGCAATCCTACCAACTCCTCTTTCTTCTCAGACACCACAAAAAGATTTTTGAGATAATCTTTAATCGATTCAAGAGTTTCCTCTGAAAGCTCCTGAATTATTTGAGCCATGAGAGGAACAGACTCTGATACAATCTCCCGAAGAATTCTCTCTGGTCTAGAAACCTTCCATGCTCTCCCTCCATCAGTATTCTCCAAGCCTCTCAAATTCTCAGAATCCTTCCTCCTGGAATCCCCAGAATTGGTATCTATCCGCAGCCTTGCAGGCAATTCAGAAGGGAAAAATGAAAGATTATCCGAACTCGTAGTCTTATAAAGACTATTGTTACACGAATCCTTATTCATCAAACGACTACTTTGCATCATAGAAAACCCACCGCCTCCTCCTCCTCCTCCACCACCACCACCACCACCATGATTGTTCAAAGCAATAACGCCATCTCCAATAGGTTTGAACCGACTATGAACTGACCCATTAGTCCCCTCACCACCACACCAAATTTGATCATCCCTCCCTACAGAATAATCATAATTCTCGGTCGAATTATGCGTTAACGAACAACTAGGATTGTGCGAAAACGGGTGAGAATACGAATAAGAAAGTGAAGCAGCAGTGAAATCATTTGAACAAGTCGTTTGGGTGTTGTTATCTCTTGATGGTGCCAAAGATTGTACACTCCTAGCAGGCTTTTGCAAAGCATTTGATGCAGTTAAAGAAAGAGACACATCAGGCAAAGACAGAGACAGATTAAGAGTCTCTAGCCTTGGTGTCTTGTCTCTATTGTTAGTGTTACTCTCCCCCTGAAACTCTTCTTCTTCTTCCTCTATTTCCCTTTTAGAACAAGAAGAATTCACTCTACTTTCATTCAAATTCAAGAAATCTCTCTCCACAAATTTGTCATCTTGACTTGAATTCTCAACAAAAACAACCTCTTTCCCCTTGTGAGAAGCAAATTTTTCCATCAAGATTTTCTCACCAAGTTTGGGATTTTCACAGAGATATCTCAAAGTGAGCTCTTGGGAGGCAGAATTTGAGGGTTTAGAAGAAAACCCATCAAGATTCATAGTTGATTCTTTAAAAAAATCGAGACTATTCTTTTGAGACAAACCAATTTTCTCATGTGGGTACCCTTTACTTTGGTCTAAAAGGATGCTTCGGCCATGTGAAAGCTTGTTACTCACAGAGTTCTCCCCATCAATAGGGAGATCAGCAGAGAGATCTTTCTCTCCAAACATGGTCTCACCTTCCCTCACACGCAGACACACAAAAAACACAAAATAAATAAAAACAAAGACTTACCAGAGAGAAAAGGAAGGTGTATGAGGGGGCAAAGTGGAAAATCAGAGAAGATCAAGTAGTGTTTTAGTCATGAAATTTTGTTTTTCATATTATTTCTCTGTCTTGACTCTTGAGTGGTGTTTCTGAGCAACAACGGCTTGTTGAGGTTTCAAAGCGTTTACACCAATTAACTAAAAACTAAAACGGCGATGATGCTTTGCTTTTTCTTTATCATTTTTATATGATTTGTTGTTGTTTGGATTAGAGAGAGAAATTTTCAAAGTGGTCCTACTCTGCAAAGCCCGTGTTTTTATTTTGAAAAAACATTTTTTCTGACAACAGCTTAGAGACTAAATAAATCAACATTTTTATTACAAATTTCTAATAAAAATTCATATCCATCCTTTCATCTATGAAACGCCAACGCCATTGTTGAATATAGAATGGGTATAAAAAATTATACCAAAGGCATTGTTGAATTTCTTTTCTTCTCTTAACCGTTGTTAAAAAGGTAGAAACGTGATGTACAAGCCCACTTAAATATATTCACAATAATCACTGGTTCTAATTAAAAATTAACATGTCACTAAGTTTGTACATTTTAAATTTTAAATTTTCTTATTAGGATATATATAGAAATTAAAGAGAATAACCATTAGTCCCTATGATAGTGAAAAAAACAAAAGAATGATCTAATATAGTCTCTCGAGTTTGAATCCTCAAGATGATGATAGAGGTGATCACTAGAACTTTTACTCGGTTAATAATTATAGAGTCCTCAAAAATTAGTTAAGATATGCACAAACTAATACGAAAATTCCCGTTCATAAGAAAATAATAATAATAATAATAACCATCCACACTAGCCAATGTATAAAAGGTATTCGGCAAATAAAATATCTTAACTAAGCGTATGAGTTATGGAAACGTGGAAAATGCCACTAGAGTACGTATGCATCTCATGTTACAGTCAAAACTATTGTTGTTCAAGACCCAGGTTCTTTTATTTAACGTATTTTTATGTTTCAAACATTTAGTAGACTTACATAATCATTTTTATTATGATCACAAAATCAGAATAAATATGTCTAATATCAACTATTTTAGAGCATGTGAATAGGTTTTTAGTAATTATATATATATGGAGAATAAAATGATTGATTATAATTTTTAAGTTTTACTGCAAATAATGGGAAAAGGAGAATAATAGAATTTGACCTCAAGGGGTTGGTCAGGTGATTAAAGATGTGTGCTCCCTTTCTTGATTTCTTAGGTTCAAACCTTGAGATCACCTATCTCAAAATATAATTATGTCTTACTCGATTTATTAGGTTTGTAAGGTATTTAATAAACCCCAAAGAGTAATTGAGGTGCGCGTAAACTGGTCCGGACACTTCGATTTAAAAAAAAAAAAAAATGATAGAATTGAAGGATAAAATTAAAAATGATTGAGATGGATCATGAATGTCAATTGGTTCACATGTAGTGTCGTGTGTAGATGATAGTGGTGTCTTTTTTCTTTTTTCTATTAAAATGGATGGTCAAAATATACCTACTTCTACGCGTAAGCTTTGAAATCCAATTCCCACCAACATCCTTCTTTTACCTTCACTTTTCTCATCATTCATCATCCCCTACAATAATTCTACATAATATTAAGATAAGAAGAGAATAGAGCGTTTAGGATTTAAATTTAGAATTTAGGTTATAGTACAAGGGACCGTGGTCAACTCTTTGATAGCATCTAATTAACAATAATAAATAAATAAGTGCCCACCGCATGGAATATGCCTAACTTAATTAATTATTTGGTCATTTTGACTTTAATCACATACCCTGCAACTTGTTTAACGGGTAAATAAAGCAAGATAATATTAATATTATTTATTATATTTAATTTAAGACGATACTTATGTGTAGACCAAGACAAAAGATAAATATCAATTTGAACATTAATATAAATTTAGTTCAAACCGCATTAACTGTAATTGGAAGATTATTACTATTAAAGTTGTTTGTTTATGAAATTATTATGGTAAAAAGAAAGTTTGTTTTTGGTGCTTGTGATTTTCAATTAATTAATTTGAGAAATTTTATAAAATTTCACTTTCAATATCTAAGAAATAGCAACATGTCTTGTATGGTAGCAAAACATTTATGAATTGAAGGTCCTTGAAAACTAAATCTACATTGATTTTTTCAAGCAATCACTACGAAATTTGGATATATATATATATATATCCAAGTTTCGTAGTGATTGCTTGAAAATATATATATATTTAATAATCAAGGTGTACAGACTAGTTAGTGTCCACATATCAACTAATCCATAAGGTTTATTAAACAACTTACAAACTCAATATTTCATGTGAGTTACAAATGTAATAGGTGACCCCAAAGTGGTTTGAAGTTTGAACCAAAAAATCAATGAAATGAGCAAACCATCTTGACCACCAAGCGAACCCCTTAAGGTTATTATCTTAATCAAAAGTAGGGTTAATTTCATTGGCTTCCCTAAAAAATGATTAACTCTTAAACACTATTAAATACTCGCCTATTTAAGTTGGTATAAGTTTAAATCAAGATTTTTTCATAATAATTTTGCCAAACCCCAAAGGTAAGGTATAGCTAATGAGATTTGAAAAATAAAACCCTAACCCCTACTTCCTCAGTTTTCCTCTTTAAAGTTACCAGATGGATGGGGTATGGTTGAGATATCAATTTTTTGATAAGGATATTTCGACCTTCCAAGAAAATCTTCAATTTTTTCCACAATTGGACCACCATACTCGATCTGACCGTGGCAGCACTGTGAGGCCAAATCTAGCTTCCAACACTGTTGCAGGTCTATAGAAGTCCTAAGTAACAAAGACTAAATTCTAACAATTTTTAACAAAATGAGAGTTGAAGTCCTATTTTCCGAACCTACGTATGCTTAATGTATATTGGCTGTACGTAAAAGTCTTGTCTAAAATTATTCCGATACTTTTATCTAATAATCTTAATTTTCTATAGAAATTACGTAACATATATTGTCAATATGGTAAATCTTTTTTACATGCATTATATATTTTTTTTTAATATCATAAATGTCTAAACTAATTTACGTGCATCTCGATTAGTTTCTCGATCCTGAATAAAATTTCTAAAATAGCACAAATCATGTGATTCATGATTAACCATATTAACAATCGTTTTTATATTTTTGCTGAAACCACTGAAAGAGCAAATAACTCAAATATTGAATTTTAGTCCTCAAAAGTAATTCAATAGCCTGAGAAAATATCATCTGACCATTTTATTCAAATGTCTAATGATGATTTGATGAATCAATTCCCGACCAGGATATATATATATATATATATTAAATTGCTGTCAATCCCACCATTAAGGCCGGCCAAAGCCCAAAACATTGGACTTGGTCACATAATCTAAATTATTTTAGTCATTATAAATTTACAGATTTGATATAGTTTTTAATGTTCATTGACTTCTTGTTTAAGGGTCAATTCAAAGATAAGAGTGCGTTTATATATATATATATATATATGGTTTCGTACTTGCTTTTCTTTTTACATATAATATTTTCTAATTTAATAATATATAGGTAATATATAAACTGGGTTGACATTATTTTTCATTGTTATAACATTGTCCTTTTAACTTCATTTTTTCTATTATAAATTTTCAACTCTTTTACTAATTTGTGTGATTATATCAATTTACATAAAAAATTATACATATATAGATAGATAGATTTATTTCTATCAAAATATAGATGTTAACGCTTGATTTTGACACCGACAACTCGCACGTGCAAAGTGCTAAGTAGCTCTTACAAATTACACGTAAATAATTATGATAAGCTAATGCAAAGATCAAATAATAAATTAAAGATGATTTTTAAAGTGGTTCGGATGCTTAAAGTGAATCCTACATCCACTGTTATTTTATGTATGAGATATTATAGGAGATCGCATATAGCGAACAACGAACAAATGTACAATAACTAAATATTCAGATTGAATGAAAATAAAGATACAATTAGAATGTGGGTTCTGTATCAAAATCTCGAAAATGAAAGGGTGAGTCCTCTATTTATAGTAGAGGAATTCAAGGTAATGATTATAAATCTGCAAGTGGGTATGTGTCGTGTAAGCCATTCATTGCGTCTCATTGGCTGATAACTTGGGAAATATCCTCAAATTACTTGGGGTTTGGACTGATGTTCATCCCTCATTCACTCATAGACAAAACCTGAATCTGCTAAGTTGGTGACAACCATACTTTTTCTGTCATATAGCGACGTGGTAGCTCCTGGATAGCACAAGGCCTTCCTGAACTCTGATTGGTGCTTACTGACGTAAGTCTACGTCAGCCTTGACTTTTTAGGTATAACAGAAGCTCCCCAGTTCTTAAGGTTCAAGGATTGAACCTTGAGAACTTCACGATTATGCCGCGACCTAACTTGTTACAAGGAGTATTTGCCTGAGCCATCAGTTGAGGATAGTCACATTGTTACAAATGACATGAGGCTGATAGCTTTACTCGACCAATGAGCCAAGAGAAGGTCATGACATGAATCTTCAAGAGTTACACAAGCAACTTGAGGCGATTGTTCCAAAAGGTTCAACGACCCATGACAGATCTTGCTCAGTGCTATAACGACGTAGTTTGAGCTTTATTTGACTTTGGCGATCTGAAAACACTTAGGATATTTCACTTTCGAAAATTGAGAATCATTTCATTTCATGTTTGATACGAAGAAAAGAGTGTTTTATTCGCACAACCTATTCAGATGTTATCTGTTGCGCTTGACGGCTGTATCGGTCAATAAAATAAGCTTTATCTGACATACGTGTCTCTACGCAATAAGTGTCAACCATGAGCATTAAATGCAAGCTACGCTGAAACGACATTCTCTTTTGAAGCATTAAATGCAGATGAGGGTGCATTTAATGTGGAAGAGATAATCACACCGACGTTTGAAGATTTCAATGAAGGGAAACGCCGGTTGATCTCCACGAAGCATGACAGTTACTCTTCGCACAGATTGATGAACGCGTCCCGCCCAAATGTCACTTATAAAAGAAAACCAAGCCTCGTCTTCCTCCCTATAAAACCCTAAGCCCATTTCAAGTTTTTCACAGAACTTAAATTTTCAGAGAAAAAAAACAACATTTTTTACACTTAAGAGATCAATTCATCCTCTTCTCAGTAGGGGTGGG